AAAAATTAAAAAAAAGGGGGAAAGAAAAAAAAAAAGAAAGGAGGGAAAAAATGGTGCCTGCCTAGGAAGGTGGAAAAAGGGGGGTTGCCCGGTAAGTTGGTTTTGGGATAACAAGGGGGCTTTTAGTAAAAAAGGTTTTTTTTTTAAAAAAAACTTCCCGGCGGGGGGGGGGGGGCTTCTCTGGTATGGGCATAAATGCATACGAGGGAAAGATGATGTCATCGATGAAGAATTGTATGCTGGCACGGCCAAGTCTATGGAGGGGGTCCTTGCCGGGGAGTGTTACAAACAGGCAAAGAAAGAGGGATGTCATGTTGATACAGTTTGGCAAGATGGAGATTCCAGCTCTGCAAAGTCCGTCACTGAACACCACTCCAACAGCACAGTGTACAAGTGTGGAGGGCATGTTGGACGTGCTCACACGAACAACCTGAAAGAGGCTGCAAAGAAAAAGGAGTTCTCAAACGACATTGCACAGAAATTCAAAGACAAGTTTCCTAATATCAAAACACTTAAGTGCAAATGTGAACGGCACAAGTCTGGATGTGGTTGTTTATCAGAGACATTCATTAAGGGAGCTCGCATTAACCACTTTTGCATTCTTCAACAGTGCAAAAGCCCTGAAGATTATGCAGAGCGTATGCGTGTTGTTTCCCAGTACCACTGCAGAGACATTCATTCCTGGGATGAAGAGTCATGTGGGTTCCACCCGCAATATTCCTGTAGTTGTAATCAATGTGATGAGGATGAAGAACCCAGTTGTGAAGGCAAAGAGTACCACATCAAGGTCCCTAACCTGTGACTTTCACTGGATGGCCTACAGACTTGAGTGTGAGAAAACGGCTGAGGATTCAGAGGCTGTCATTCACCCTGAACTTGGAAGAGGACATTCAAATCTATGTGAAGCACATTTCACGGTACTTCCTCAGTTTAGAGCAAAGGATCAGAGTTTGCAGAGGTACATATTTAAAATTATTCTTTGAAATGTTTTCTGCTCACTCCCGGGCATAGCAATGAACATCACACACATTTTCTATTAGTAAGATAAATAATGATTCACATCCGTGTTTTATCTGCTACCACTATTCATCTCAATATTTGTTTATTAACTTTGTTCAATGTGTATCTGCAGCATAGGTTTTTAGGTGTGGGTGGAAATGGTCTTTGCTAAATTTCTGAACAGCTGTGTGTGAAGCGGGGGAGAGTAGGGTGTCAAAGAAAAAGGGTTGTTTATTGGAAGCTGCAGGTACTTATTCAAGTAAGCAGCATGCCAAAGGTAAAATTTTTATTGTCAAGTAAAACAAAAAATAAAAGGAATTTCTTTGAACAGGTTACACTACATGACCTCAACAAATGCTGGACTGTGAATATGACCTGGTGTTATGAAGTGCGAGGCACTCAGTACCACTGGGTCACAAGCCTGTATGAAAGAAGTAACCTACCCATCCTTCCAGCAATCGTGAAGACTCTCAGTGAGGCTGTTAAATTGAGGGCTGCTGAACTTCAAAAGCAGAAATCAAATCACTCCAAAGCGCTCAGAGTGCGGATGAAGGTGGCAAGAGCAGAAGACCAAGAGGCCCGGAAAAAGTGGGTTAAATGTCAAGCCATCGTTCACTCATATGGTCAAGACGACAAGGGAGATGATGAACTGGGGGACGTGGCCGAAGTAACTGTCATCAGCAACAGAACCTGTCGCTGTGGTTCAGCTTCTCACAAAAGAACAACCCACAGATCTTGCCCTCTCAACACCACGAAATAAAATACATCTGTTATTAGTTTATCATGCCAACACTAGTTTTCTTCAGGGTGGAATATTAGTAATGTTCATTGTATAGACTATTTATTCTGGTAATGATTGAGAAGTATACTTCACCTATACTTCTAGATACACCTAAAAAATAAAATGAACACAAGTTGTCAACAATTTATTAAAGCTCCTGTCATTCTGATCATAGTTTCTTTTAGTGCTAGTGCTGGCAATTACTTGTTTCTCTTCGCCTCTTGCACAAGCACAAACCCGTGATTGAAAGGGATGTTCAGAATGCAAGCTGATGAATTATGGTTTTATACAACAATTATAAGACAAGTATTATAAACTTACATGAGACCCGACTGGGTCGCTTTTCCCCCACAATTGCCCGCACAACCTTCTTTATACATTCGGGGAAATGAATGTGGCCTGCCCGCCTGTGAATTTCGAATTGGCATTCGATTGCATCATTTTATTGTATATACACAATTACCAATTTTCTTCTTGCCTTTCCTGATTTTGAAGATTTATTTACTTTTAACCAATTTTAGGAAATATTTGTTGAGTCTGTAATGGAGTTTTTTTAAGACACTAAGTGCTGCACGAGATAATTGTACTTCCTTGACCAAGTCTGTGTGGTGGAACAATTAACATCAGTCACATTTTATCTCCAAGTTTCATAAAAATAAGTGAGTGAATTTGTGTCTCTGTTTGTTATTGTAGGTGTTTGTTGGCTATCCCATTTCCGGGAAAATGTCTGAATTTAAATTAGAAAAGAACACGACAAAGAGTATCGTTTAAAATGCTGTATGCGGTAATGTTAGTGCCTTGGCAAAAGCCACGATGAAGGATAGAGAGCTGAATGACCTGATTATGGTTGAAGTTATCTATGCGATCAAGAGAGAAATCAGAAGGTATTCTAAAGGCCCTGAATGTATCCTGAAGCTGAAATCTCCAGGGGATATCAGGAAATTCAGTAACGAATCATTGTACCAACAGCTATTGGTGAAGTGTCCAAAGATAGCAGTCTTAATTACTTCCATTTGTCAGCCAGGCAACTTAAAAGGAAATATGCCACTCCTCAGCGATGTAGAAACTACAATTCGATTCAGGAATGCAGTGTGCATGGCGACATCCATTTGTTTGCATCAGCACAACCAACAGCTGAGTGCCACTCACTACAGGATGAGTCTTCTTCTCAATGGTGGACCCAAGGCACTCACGCTAGAACATTGCTCACATCTTGGCATTTGCATGTCACACCCCTCTGCCATCAGTATTCAAAAAAAGGCTTCAGCCCCTTCCAGCACAAAGGCTACCTCATGGAAAGACGACACACCATCAAAGTCTCTCCAGATTAAGTTTTTGAAAGAAGTGCTGAAGGAGAAGCATTCTTCACACACCGACCTCTCACATGACAAGGCAGAGGGCACACACAACTCTCTTGTTTACCCTAGGCATGTTGTTGTCAGTGCAGTAAAAGACATTGAGAAGAGTATTGTACATTACAAGCAAGTATGCAGCTGCAGGTTACAAAATCTGAATGGATTATATGGTTGTTCAGAGGTTAATAATTTTCTATGGTACATTCTGTTTTTATTTAACTTCCAATACCTGGTCTCTAGAGAAACACATGTACACTCTCTCACGCCCTCTCTCCCCCACTCTATTGATTCCCAGTATCATGAAGATTGCAACCGCTGATTGTTTATATACTCACATCATTTCTTAAGCCTTATTAAGGTTTGGGTGTTATGACTATATCTGAAATGCATCCACTTAACTATGGAATTTCCAAAACCAAGTTAATAAATTTGTTAGTTGATTAATATTATTATTATCAATTTTCTTCCCGTTTTTTTTAAACTGGGGTGTGTAATAAACATTGTATTATCTAGTCAGGCATAAATCAATGACAATGAAATGTATAACAAAAGATAAACAGGTCTTCTGTGGTAACAAATTTTTGGTTTGGTTTGCAAGTAATATTAGATCGCCGAGCATAATGTAATATAATGGTCCAAATCCTTCATTGACAGATTAGTCACAGACAATATTGATCTAGCTGTGTAAGCCAGGCATCAATCATCAAGCCATCAAAACAAGTCCCTACACTGGACCCATAGTTTTGCATTCAAGAATCGTGTTGAGCCTTATGCAAGTCTAGTTGATTGTCAGGCACAGATGCGATGCAATTCAAAGACTTGTAGATGATCCAGATACTTCCAAGCCAAAAGGAGTAGGTTGCCATGCAATCATGTATGGTAACACATGTCTTTCGAGTAATCTGTAAATACTTTGAAGCGTATAGAGGGTTTAAATCAGCAGTAAGCCACCACGTCCCACATAAGTATTCAAATGAATTGAAGCAGAAGTCAAAACAAGTACGTAACTCTTTTTACTTCAGTGACAAAGTGGTAGTCCATTTCACAGTTAAGGGGGTGCAAACGAGTTGACCTTGTTTTGATACAACAGTCCCTGATTTATTATGTTCTTATACTCACTTTTTTTTTAGCATGAAGAGGTTTGTATCAACAAGGACAACCTCAGCCTCACATTCACTCAGAGGCTAGGGTATTAAGCTCATAACTGTAAAATGGTCAATTCAATTTGCCTTATGCATTAAAGAAATGTATTGCTTTTGCAAAGCTACTTTGTCTTGCTTAAACACATTTCTCTGCCCTTGTTATTGTGTCAATGCGTGTAGCTAAATTTTTGTTAATTATGTCTTGAAGGCCGTCTTGTATGTGTAATCAAAGGAATTTTAATTTTAATTTATCCTTTTCTAACACTTCTTAACTCAACCTGTCCCTCTCTGGATTTTTATTTTGTGGCAGGCATCTGACGATAAGTGAAAATGAGATTTTTTATCGCCAGTTTCATTCGCTCTGGGGTGTGCCAGAGAAGGGATTAAACTTCCTTCCCATAAACCATTGCAATGCCATTAAATATTATCATATCATCTGAGCTTACTTTTCATTTTAGACAACACAAAGGGATATTGACTACTTAAGTAGTCCATGTTTTAACCCAAACAAGCACTTTTTATGATAAAACATTTGCACTACAGCCTTATAAGGTTTGGATTTAACATTCTCAAACTCATTAATAATTCATTAAGAAAATACAAAGGAAATTAATGTTTAATGAGTGTTTGGAAATCGGATGAAACACTGCTTAGTATTTGCATCCTTAATTTCTCCTTCAAAAATGATTTTGTTTGAGAAGAAATATCAAACATTCGACACAGTGTTTCATCACCAGATGAAACACCTCGAAGTTCGTCAAAAATACTCCGCTGCGCGTCGTATTTTCAACTCTCTTCTCGGTGTTTCATCTGGTGATGAAACACTGCATCTCATGTTTGATATATTACGTCTTAATTTCTCTAATTTTTAGGGCCTCCTAGGGTTGGATTTTTTAAACACAAATAAGTCTGGTGACATGGCAGACTTGTTAAAAAAGTTTCAAAAAGAATATGTTCCAATGAAGGAAGATCATGTATGGCACAAAGCAGGCAAAAGAGAGGACTCTTCTTGACCAGCCAAGACAAAGAAAGCCCACAAAGAAGACTTTGCAACTTTAAAGGAAAGAGGACTCAGAGGACGAAGAAATCACAAAACAGCCAGTGTAGAATGCAAAACCAAAACCAAAGAAAAAAGGAAGAGAGGCTGAGAAAGGGAAAGAAAATGCAGGTGAAAAAGGAAAAGCTGTTCCCATAGAAATCAAAGACAGAGAAAAAGCAAAACCAAAAAATACATATATATTTAATCGCGTGTCTTTACATGGTGGCAGCGAGTGGAGAGCTATAGTGGTAAAATATTACACATAGCCAATCGCCTAACAAGTCTACAAGACTTAGTATGGCATCTAGATTTTCGTTACCGCCGCCAGCACCCCTTGAAATACACGACCCCAACGTTGCAGAGAAGTGGAAAAAGTTCCTCTTTGGTGTGGGAGAATTACACACTTGTAACAGAGTTAAATAAGAAGAGTGAGCCTGTTCAAGTGGCCACACTATGAACACTGATAGCCGAAGAAGCAAGAGAGGTGTATTCTACGTTCAACAACTGGGCAGAAAATGGCCATGATAAGAAAATTAAGCCTGTGTTGAAGAAACTCGGAGATTATTGCGCACCACGCAAAAATATTTGTTTCGAGAGATACAAGTTTAATCGCCGAGTTCAAGAGCCAGGAGAAACCTACGATCAGTATCGTTTTATTTATTTATTTTATTTTATTAGCTTTGCCCTGAAGAATACAGAAAAAAAATACTGAAGATATGCCAACACTAGTAATAGGAACGTAACACACTAATAATAACTTAAATATTTGGGCAGGGACACTGCAACAGTGACAATTACTGTGGACTCAAAAGATAAAAAATAAAAAAAAGCAGCAATTTAAATCACATGAAGCAGCAAATTTCTTGGTCTAAAAACCTGGCTGTGTTACATTTCAAGCAAATACTTTTGAAGCTCCTTGGAGAGTCCCAGTCATAGTTTATTGCTAGAGCCCATGAGTAATAACCGTAAAGAACAGATTTAAAGTTCTCAAAAGTAAATTATCTAGGTCAAGTCTAGTAATAAGCAGGTTCAGATTCTCGTGGTTCTAATGAAAAAAGATTTCTGAAAGGTAGAGGTCCTGCATTTTTTAGGCACAAAAGATTGAGAGCTCGTTACGGATAGACGGGTCCTTCATGCGCATTCGCGCACGAAGGGAACAACAGACAGATCTAAGTGAATCATATGATGCGTAGCCTTGTAAAAATATACTGGATCTGGTCATTCGTACCAGTAGCACACAGGAAGTAGGTTTACAGATATTATTCTTTCTTTGCAAGATATATTTCTCATATATTCTTCTATTCTTTATCGCTATGCTCAGCCGAATATATAGAAAATATTTCGGTAATGAGTCGTATTAAGAAACAAAACCACTCCTACTATACAACAACACCTAGGAACAATACATAAGAAAATGAAAAAAGCAGCCACGAGTAAACTGGTTGGCGTCAAGTGGCGTGAAATTCACAAGGAGTGGTTTATTAAGTATCTAACTGCCAAACAATGTAATCACCAACTTAAAGAAATGCATTTTTATTACTTTTGTTTATTGCTTCTTTTTCAACATCAACTTGGCAACCTTAAAGCGTGCAAAAATCCTTTTGTTTGACAAGATATTTAAAAACAATTCTCTTGTATATAATTTTCCCCAGTTGGTCAATTTTTCTTCAACGGATGATGATGTCGACGACCACGCAAGCATAAAGATCGTGGCATACAAAATTTATGAAATACAAATTTTTTTTTATCTAAACTCTAGTGATCCATTAAAAAACCCAGCCCAAACTGTTCAGTGAACAACAGAGAAGAGAGGACTATGTAAAGAATTAGAGTTTTATAATAATGATTCGAGGATGGCCATACAGGAATTGGTAAAACACTCCTTTAGAGATCATCTCGACCCAAGCGGAGCCTCAAGGTAACATTGACACAAGTACTAAAATGCCCGGTGAAAAATCTGTCAATACACCAGACAATACACTGATGGCTCCATAATTTGTTCCTTTAGGCTAAATTTTTATCGTACAGTTAGCAGTGGTTCATTGGCGCTGACCTTAGCATGCTCCTGGAGTGAACTGACCGATGACAAGCTAAAATATTTGTACAAGAATCGAATGAAGGTTTTCATGAGGTTAGATGAAGGTCAGGTTTTGTCACCTAGAATTTAGATGTTATGAAAAGCAT